TAATCAATCACGATACTGTAAATTATATTGCTGTTAGACAATATAATAATTTCTACCGGCAATATTAAAATAACGCTAGATTATAAAACTATAAATTAGAGTAGTTTGATTGTCGTTGGAATTTTCATAGAATTTTACAGAATTTTCCTATTTAAATACTCGTCCTTTTTAGTTGTATAGCAAACATACGAGCGATAGAAAAGAATTATAGGTAACAGGACAGAAAACGTCTACGGACAATCGGTAACTGATTACAGTGTCGCAGCCATAGCTCGATGCATCTGCAGGTACCCTCTTATTCAAAAGAATGTTCTGCATTGAATAGACCATTTATTGTCGCACGTAGTGCATTAGGTGAGCGCAAAAAATTAAAGAAATTCGAATTCCGATAAGCAGACACTTGTGGATGAACCACAAAATGCAACTATTCCATACACAAACATAAAGTGAAACAAATGAATAATAATTGACGAAAATAGTTGAGGCATTATTATTAGAAACTGACTTATCGTTTGCATCCACCTAATAACGAACTTCACGCAAATACGATTTCTTTTTATTTTTATCATTTTCATTTATTTTCTTTCATCAATCCATATTCACCTCTCTTGTGCTATCGCCGCGCCACTGCGTGCACGTACGATAATTGGTGCTCCGAAAAGTGAATTGTGTGCTATTAAATAAAAAATTCTAAGTACACATAAAGGAGTTGTCTCTTCAACTTAATATCGACCAATTGAATAGTTCTCATTTAGCGTTATAACTGTAGAACTATTGTGTACGAGACGATCAATTAATCAGTAGCTGATCCTGTGAACAATCGTAAACTCGGTTTCGATAAATACAGAAACTAAAAACAGCAACTGGAAAGAAAAGAAAACCTGCTTTTATATATGAGCGTAAATCGATAAATGTATATGTAATTTTGTAGATCTAATGTTGCTACGTCAGACTAAAGGAACTCCTCCTTATATCTTGTCGCAACTCGTTAACTATACCTTTACTATATGTATATATGTAATGTATAAAAATACTTCCTAAAATCCTAAAAGGAAGATCAAACGAAGTTCTTTCTCACTACGTGCTTCACTTAATAACACGGTGCTGGTCTCCCAAAAAAGCACGCAAAGTTCGATGTTGTTGCTATATTCAATGATAGTGTGTGCTTTTAAAAACGAACTTTCCAAAACGTACGAAGAAAGAGAGGGGGGTTCAAAAGGAACGAAATACCAAATCAGGAGGTGATTTTCAACATTCCTGTGTTACGGTATTTTTTTAACAGATTGGGTAGTTCCACTCCGAAAGAGTATTTCAATTTAAAAAACATTTCGTGAATTCCTCCCGCTCTTTTTTTTTGCAAAGCAGAAAATGTTGCGACAACATTGGATGAAAAGAAAAAACAGTCAGAGAAAGAGAGGTGTGAGAGATAGAAAACGGGAACAGAAAGAGAGAGATCATGAAAGAATAAGTGTGAAAGCAGAAACGTCGATTGATACTCACAGTGACTCACGAAAATATTTAAAGACTTACTATTAAAAACTTTTATAAATGTATGTGTCATGTTTAATGTACAAATTTCTTATAATTTCAATACGAAACATGATTATAATAGGATGCTAAAGAATATATTCAACAATATATTTAATACATTGATAGAAATTCTTTACGAAAACTGATTCTTGATAATCATACAAATTAGTATTGATATTACAGGAAAACATAAATCGAATAATGTGTACAGTATGTGAAATGCCTTTTTTCCAAACAGGTGCGACGATTGTTCGGTTCATTGTTACGCGATATAATAAAAACTATAAAAAGAAGCGGAAAATGATGTGAAGGGAAAAGTTCGATGTTGTTGCTATATTCAATGATAGTGTGTGCTTTTAAAAACGAACTTTCCAAAACGTACGAAGAAAGAGAGGGGGGTTCAAAAGGAACGAAATACCAAATCAGGAGGTGATTTTCAACATTCCTGTGTTACGGTATTTTTTTAACAGATTGGGTAGTTCCACTCCGAAAGAGTATTTCAATTTAAAAAACATTTCGTGAATTCCTCCCGCTCTTTTTTTTTGCAAAGCAGAAAATGTTGCGACAACATTGGATGAAAAGAAAAAACAGTCAGAGAAAGAGAGGTGTGAGAGATAGAAAACGGGAACAGAAAGAGAGAGATCATGAAAGAATAAGTGTGAAAGCAGAAACGTCGATTGATACTCACAGTGACTCACGAAAATATTTAAAGACTTACTATTAAAAACTTTTATAAATGTATGTGTCATGTTTAATGTACAAATTTCTTATAATTTCAATACGAAACATGATTATAATAGGATGCTAAAGAATATATTCAACAATATATTTAATACATTGATAGAAATTCTTTACGAAAACTGATTCTTGATAATCATACAAATTAGTATTGATATTACAGGAAAACATAAATCGAATAATGTGTACAGTATGTGAAATGCCTTTTTTCCAAACAGGTGCGACGATTGTTCGGTTCATTGTTACGCGATATAATAAAAACTATAAAAAGAAGCGGAAAATGATGTGAAGGGGGTACAAAATAGTCGATCTCTCTTGGTGATTTTCGCGGTAAAAAACTTTACCACCCTTCTGTTAGAGCTAACGTGGTCACGCTGCCTGATGGCATAATTGGGGTCGTTTAATAAGTCGTATCAAAGTACATATAGCGGGTCGAGGAGCGATAGGAACGAGTTTCAATGGCGTGACTATCTGCACTCATATACGACGAATTCAAAGGTGCCCACTCTCTGCAATTAAGTTAATGGAATAGAAGGATATCTATGTGCACGAAACGGTGAAACACACGAATTCGAAGTTGGAAAAAAAAATGGAAAGTGGTAGAGGACAAAGAACGACGTTAGGAAAGAAGCGAAAGTGTATCATTTCAACGAATGGAATTTAAATCAATCGTTTCAATAATTTTGCCACCGAAGCAGATCAAGTAAAAGGAAGTGAACCATTTATGCCAATAGTCCAGAAATACGTTTAAGAGTTGGGAAGAAGTATTAAGAATGAGAACGAGCGATTAAATTTTAAATCCGCAATTCTTTTCTCGTTAAATCAACTTCAAGCTCCAGCTCATTTTTTCCCATTATTAAATCATAAAAATTCATCTTCGTTTTATATGATCATTTATTATACTATTGAATACAGAAAATCAATGCATAAATATTTGAATATTCGCATTTTTATATGAATATTTTAATAGTTTAATATATCTCAAATTTCTAGATTGAAAATATTGCATGATATATTTAAGTCCCCAAATTCAACTCACATTGACTATTTTCCCATTACAAATACTTTCGAAAGCGAAACTTTAATCCTTTTGCTCCGCGCCCTATGTGCGCCAAAAAAGTGGACACTTTGGCGTTCTAATGTACGTCTTACGTCTGAATAACGCTGTGCCGCTTTGACATGTTTTTGGAAGAAATAAGACTCTTCTTTAAAGTAAGCAATTTATAATTCTACATAAACCACCGCTAATATACTGAGTGAGTGCAAATGTTCTTGCCTGATTAGAATAGATAAGACATTATTTCATTCACATTATTGTTCACATTTTATCACATTTTTTTATGAAGTCATCTCTTTTCTCTATCACTCTTTCAACAAACAGGTGGATTCCCTTTTCATAGAAACTGGAGGCTTGACCAGTTGATCATTCAGAAAAAATAATTATTTTCGAACAAATCATTTTGTACTCCTTGAACACTACAAATGTACGAACAGAGTACATCGTGGACCCGTGCATTACAGCCGGTGTTAGGCGCGAAAGGGTTAAAGTGCATCTCAGATTGTACGAAATATTTCAGTCGTGATTTCCTTCCTCCTTTCAGTGGCGAAACTTGAGAGATTAACGATGATGAGTTTCTTCGACGTACCCGACAATGTCTAAAACGATTTTCGATATCCGTTGAACCGACCAATCGTGGCGCGAACCGCTTCATCTCTGACGGTATACGAGAGGAAGAGAGAAAGACTATAAGGTAAGAAAAGAAAAAGGAGGTGTAAAATCAGATTTGTAGTATTAGTAGTACTAGTAGAAATCCGAAGTGCAGTGGCTGACGAGCAATAAGGGGCTTACGTATCGCTAATTACGTACAAACAGCGTGGTTTCCAATTTCTCATAGATCGTGCACGCGCGTCGTCAATCGTGACTCGATTCGAAACTTTCTGTCGACGAAAGTTTCAGCCTCGAAGAGGAACGTGTACAGAAACATACAATAGATAACGTGGGCTGCGAAATCACGATATAATCGTACATGTACAAATTCATATGACAGTTGTAACAATCACTCTGCGTATCATAAGTATAAAACCAATTGAAGGCTTTCACTATACGGTAACAGGTTATTTAATTCATTTAAAATATCTTGCAGCTTATATTTGAATTCCGCACATGATAGTACAATTTAATACATGTATAGATAATATTATTTGTTTTCGATACAACAAAAGAATGAAAAGATATTTTAAGTTCGGTAAAAAGATGAAATAAAAAGTACGAGAAAATTGGAAGAGAAATAAAACTGTAATATATTCGCTGATTAATTTTAATCTTAACAAGTAAATATTTGGAAAAATATGGAAGATACGGAAAAATGTTTGAAGTAGAACTTATATGTATAGTTTTAAGAGGGTGGAAAGAACATTTGATAAAACCATCATGCATGATTTTGACGTAACATTTACTATACGTCAGGTGTGTACTATATTATAGGAATACGATGATGGTATATTATTTTGGTTCTCGTATTTGGTTTTACAATTATGACAAAGAGTGAAGAGAGACCGATCAACGAGAAATGATCCACGATTATGTGTAAAGTCAGATGCATTGGTCAAAAAGATACAGGATATGTATATGTATATATTAAAAGCGAAACGAATAGGTCTCTGGGATGAAGGACGATCCTGAAGTCAGGACAGTCCTACGATCAAGAACCAAGGATCTTTGACGAGGGTACCTGAGCCACACATGGGCCGGGCTGCTCGCAACTGCATTGCCGTTTCACTCGTTAGCAGGGCTTTCCATCTGGTTCGTTGTTCGCACATTCCTGATTGGTCAGATACACTGATTGTCAGACTAAAGACTAAAGGATTGTACCGGTATGCATGATCCCAATCGCGATCATGCCCTAATTTCACCAGCACTTCAAAGTTTGAGATACTCTTTGCATACAAGCGATTACCAAAAGTGTTTCATTGTATAGATAATTTATACTTTGCATTGCATGATTACGAAATAAATTTAACATAAAATAATATTCATTCTTGCGTATTATATACCTTATTGAAAAGCTTTGAGATTTTGGAAAGAATTGAAGTATATAATTATTGTACATTTTTAATAATATTAAGAGAATTAACAATTTCTCATTTATTTTTACGACACGTTGCACGTCGTTTTTACGTCGAATCTCATCTAATTTCATTTAACGAGAGTGGAAAATCACAACGATTCCTCCTTTCCCTCGTAAGATATTAATGCTATTGTACTTTACGTGGTTTCTCTTAGTGTGTTGGAAGTTATAGCGAGACACGTCGATATTGCATAATTTATAATGTATGCGATGCGCGCGTGCACACTACACATTGGTGCACGAAAGCGGAATTCAAGACTCAATAATAAATCGAGGAAGTTATATAGGATATAGGGAAACAATGAAAGTTTCAATTTATTGCCAACACTCTCCATCGTTCACGTTATTTTGATCGAACATCAGCCAACGTGCATACATGACAATAGCATAGTTTACGGAGAAAAATGTAGAAAGAGGTCAACATCGCGTATAGAAATTTTCCGTCTACATGTATCGTCGCGATGTACATATACGACAAGATGTACTTGCCAACCTATATTCTCGTGACTGTTACTCTTAGTTACTTTTTTCGAACGATTAATCGAGCACATCCAAACCGATGGTTACTATTAAAATTTGATAATCATGTCATGAAAAGATTGAGTGATTAACAAAATTTTCTATAATAATATATGCGCAAAAATAAATTATAGAAACACTTTGCAGTATGAAGAAACCCACTCCTATTAACAAAGGAATAAGCAAATAATTCAGTGCCATCCTTTTTTATTGTAACAATTTATCACGCGAGCTATAGAACTGTCAGGAACCATTTCTTGATAACATTCGTTCAGGCATCTCCCTTAGGTATTCGCAATTTTTCACTCAGCAACCTATCCTCGACGCGATTAAACGTTCAGTTTAATACGAAACGCCTTCTGCATCGTGTCACCGATAGTCATCTTACTTTATCATTGTCGTACCTCGAACATGTCGATACTCTCCCCGATATACAGATTGTTTCGGCTCTCTTGATCGTATCACGCAGCCTACCAATCCTCTATCTATTTTCCAATACTTATTCCACCCCTCGACTTCCCGTGAGAGCGCACAGGAAGAGAAGAAATGCAGCCGACTCGATCTTCCTCGCTTGTGGAACGGTTCGCGAGCAACTGGGAGATTCAAGGGATGAGACAACAGAAACGAACGAGAGGATAAAAGGGAGAGAGACGAGTCGCTTAGTTGTTTCGTGAGAAACGATCTTATCCCCTCGTCGCGTCGCGTCGTGGGGATTCCAAATAACACCCGCGATTCCGGAAAGGTTTGCGTGAACTTCGCAAGTGAATAGACTATTTCTCCAACATTACAAACAGAATGACCAAGCGCCTGAAACAAGTGTCCTCGTAAACGATCTCCGCTTGGTAATTATACTCAAATTGCTTCAGGACAATAAAGTCTGACTTCGTTAAACTTTTTATACGTATAATAATGCGTATAAAATGTTTTAAAAATTTCACTGTCGAATGACAATGTTAAAAGTGATTAAAATACTAAGTGGTTAATTTTCTCTCAATTGTACACACAAAATTACGTAACTTAAAATGACACAATTTTATCAATAAATGGAAGCATTTTATTTCGTATTAGTAGTGGTAATAGTACCTAGTGATATCTACCTATAGCAAGAAATTGTTGCCCTGTGATAAATACTACGTTCAAGTCCCTGGCCAGATTCCCAAAAGCTTAATTAACACGGATTCACGAATCCAACCAGAAGAGGGTACCGGAGAATTTACTTTATTTCCGGAAGTTAATTGGGTACAAACTATAGCGCGTGGTAACGCGTTCTCTTTTGATTTACCGCAGGAAAACAATTCTACGCAAACGTGGACATTCTTTCTGGTGCACGAAATTAAACTCCACCAACATTTTGAAATTGTGTAGAATTATCTGCTATACATATTTTACAGAGATTACAGAATTCTTTATTGAAAAGATAAACTGAACATTTGAAGTGAGAAAAATCTAATTGTTATCACTATGTTATTTTATTTTACTTAAAACACGATTGCACAAAACCTACTTTTTAAAATGTTTAAATAAATATTCTCTCTTTAATAATACACATATCTCTTTGTAAGCTATACTCTGTATCAATAATTATTTACAATTGTCAAAAAATAAATTGTCAAAATCTGAAAATATTTCTTCTAGTCAATTAAGGTGAAGTCTAATTTCTCAATCGAATCCCGCGGCATTAATTTTATATAACTTCCTTCCACGATTAATGATTTTTGACAATTAGGAAAAGTACGAAAGAATGGAACAAAAATAAAACAGGTCGGTAATTAAATTATGTATTCTCGGTTGTTAGAATTCTTCACGACGAGCTTAATATTCAAAGCGAAGAACCGGTGGTGTTTCAGCGCACTGGCGAACGCCAACCAGCAAAAAGTACACAAGAAAGAACGAACGAAAGGGTGAGAGAACAGGACGTATAGCAGCATTCGGTAGAATTCCATTAAACTAGTTGGCGTGGATCGGAGAACAGAAGGAACACGCGGCAGAGAAAAACAAGAGACGAAGGAGGAAATGGAGGAAAAAAGAGCGTGGAGTGGAATGCGGATGAAGGGAAAGGGTAAGAGAAAACGGGGAGAAAAAGGGGAAAGGAGCGGTACGCGCAGTGAAACGTCAGCTTTCGTTGCTGGTAGGTTTATTATAAACGCCCTCGTTTTCTTCGTTTCGCAACACGGTCAAGTGGAGCATCGCGTGGCGAAAAATAATTTGTGCCTTTGCGTTAAGAAAGCTGCCTCCTACCAACCAACCAAACGAAGTCCCAGCCCGAGCTCTTCAGGGAGAAAAGACTTTTTTAAACATTTCAATGGCTGTCACGAATTATCGGTTTTCATTGTACGATTTTTAGCATTTATCAACTATAAAAAACGTGTTGGCAAAGTTTAGCGATCAACTTTTTTAACACGTCATCGAAATATCGGAAATATGAATATAGTCGCGTTTAGAGGGCGCTCGAAACTTTTCCGGGAACGATGTAAAATAACTGAAAATCTTTCATTAGCTTTATTATTGAAAACTGATCGATATGCGAAAAAGATTTAAAAAGCTGGGATAATCGTGTGACTTTTCTAAGTGTAGTCATTGCCCAAATGTTTCACATTTTTTGCCCTGATCTACGAATTAGAGGTATTGAAAATAAAATGTTTTAGTAGGCTTTGGAAGATCTTTTTCATTATCTGCGTTTGTAGAACTTTGCATGAGTGAAAAAACCATGGCTGTATCGTAACGTGTCGTTAACCCTATTTCGAGAGAAAGTGAGGGATCGATAGTAATGGATCGATAATATGCCGAGAAGGTATAAAAATACGCTACTTCTGTAAGAAAAAAACCAACTGGACAAAACCCTCCACCCCTGAAACGGTCCTTCGGGAATAAAAAAATTCGATAAAAGTCACCCTCTTTTTGGCAACCTTCCTACACAAAAGTCATAAAACTGTTAGCCCATGTACTAACCCAATACGTGGCGAAACTAAACATTCACTAAATATCATTACAATAGAAGAAATATAACAAACGAATTGATACTTTATAAACGTTTGTACTAGAAGAAATCCGCAACGTGACACTACCTAAAAATATTTAATTTTTAGATTGCGCATGCCTCAGAAATTTTATCTTTTCAGACCTAAAAAATTACTTGTCCGAATAGTTTTGTTTCCCAATTAGCACGAATAATTGATGTCCTACACCAAATCAGTGTCACAAAAGAAATTTCGCAATAGTGGAATATGGAGTAGCAAAATCTTTATCAGAAGTTCGTTATCTTTCACCGTTCGTGCTTGAACATTGAGGCGCTGACGACTTTTTAAACTTGTTTGTGATTTGCGCACGGGCGACAGTCTTCTGGTAGAAAAAGTACTTACTGCTTATCTATTAAACTCTAAATCAATCGAGGGTTACACTTTCTACCGAGTGGCCAGCCTAACCAATGGATTTACATATTTCTGCAGTTATTCGTCGGCACCCATAAATAATGCATGCTGTACGCTGTTAAGTACGGTTGAGGAACCGATCGGACCGACGGGTCCATTTTTACGTCAAACACTACTTTATCTGTGTCATTGCGCTTTAATATCGATCGTCCCGAGAGATCAAGAAGCCGGGAAAATTAAAAGAGAACCTCGCGAACGAACGACTTACCAACTGCGGAGAAAACTTTTCACGACTCTCGACTTCATCGTTCGAACGTTAATACCCGCTAACTTCGTTTATACACCGAAATTCTGTGAGCGGTTTTAGAAATTTCCTAGCACAGCAGTAAATTCAGTACTACAGGACATCGTTCCGAAAAGTTGTTTCTGACTTTCCACCACGTTTGTGCGCTGGTGAAAACATGCGAACGCGACGAAATAGAATCTTGAACGACTTTTTAATTTTGTAGAAAAACAACGAACTAATTGCAGGAAATGGATGAAACTTCGACTGCATTGTAACAAAGGGAATCTGAGAAAGTTATAACGAAGGGAACGAATCCTCGCGGACTCCCGTTTTTGTTCGTGCTTTTCTTGAAACTGTTTTTTCTCGTTCTCACTTGTGAAGCGTAGAAATGAACATGAAAACATTTGCAATCAAAATATTTGTACACAATCAGGTTCAGAATCAGAAGAAATAAAAAAAGAACGCAAATACATGTCTACTCTATAACGAATATCCATGTATGTAATCTGAACAGCTTCGAACAACAATTTTCGATCTCTTTTTGATTGTGCAAATCTTCCCTAGGAGGATGTTTTCTAAATATTCATATACGAAGTATCTATTAAATCGAATTAGTATGTCGCCCTTGATATCATACAACTTTTATTCGAAACATTTTATATATAAACTATTATTTCAGAAGAAATCAATCTAGTTCCAGTTATGTGTACAATTACAATATAGGGTGTAATCTGAATTCCAGATTCAAAAGATTTGTGTCTTTCTTCGCCTCTTACTGTACGTACGTGCATAAGAGGGCACGTAGGCAAGCACATGTGATCCATTTGCGATGGACGTTATAGCGCGAGGAAATAGAGAAACAGACGGCAGAGGAATAGGAAACAGGGCGCCAAGCCAAAGCCTCGACAAGCTTCTAGACGTACTCAATTAAAAGTTCGAGTCACTCGAAAACACGGAGTAGTGGTTGGTGGTGGCGATGCGATTGGACGCAGAACGGTACAGCGCGGGACAATTTTGTCTTCATTTTTTCTCAAGTGGATCTATGTCAATCAGCAGAGGAAAATGGCACGATCCACTGGCATTTCATTATCGCTTCGATTACATGAGTGCTCCTGGTTACTGCCAGGCAATTTCATTCTCGACCCTTTTGATTTACCGCTGCAATACATTCACAGGCTTCAACACCCCACCCATGCCTTCGCCCTCCTTCGGTGAAAACTACATCCTTTTCCCTTCGCTTAACCTCTGTCGAACTTTTCCTTCTTCTCGTTTAACGTTTACTGCTCGTTTTCAGCGATTACATCGTTTAGCACTGATCAGTTTTACGATTTAAATATTATTATTTGTATTATTTATTATTGTTTAAATCTTAAATGTAACTCAAGATAGATATCTACATTTTTCTTTAACTGAAAGTCTTAAATATTAACATATGTGTAGATCCAGGCTTAAGTTCTTTATCTGATACGATAAGAACGTTCTCAAAAGTGTTGATACTTTTGGCAATCGCTGTAGGCTCGATGATATCTCGCACAGTAAAGAGCAACTTAAGTACTTTTACGTCACGTGTTCTCAGTTAACGCGTGTACATATTGCGTGCACCATGTTAACGGTTCGTAAGGTCTTCTTCCAGAGTGGGGAATTCGGATAAATGAATAGAAAATATACAAGCAATGCTAATAATATTAATGGATTTATTATTGACGTGTATCTTCGATGTGAGATATTTAACGATGAAAAGCTGTAGGTCTAATCTACAATTTATATTTCATTGGTTTTGAGCAACACATTGTCGAGTACTTTGATTAATATTGATTGATTCTGGTCTTGACTATTTTATAAAATACACCTCAGCCTAATTCCTCTTTAATTAAGAAACGCAATTGATTTGGACTCAACAAGATCTAAAAGTTGGCCATAGTCTTTAGCTTCGAATTATAAAACAATACCTCTTTTTTATGTTCATTAACGAACGTTCGATAACTTCTAATCAAATGAGCCGTTTATCTCACGCAATTTTATTAAACAGCAAATTAAAACTAAGACTGGAACGAATTACTATAGGACTAACTAAAAGTACTCGATGCTACAATTTTCCGTGTTTATTAAAAATCGATGAAAAGTTCCGCGCAGTATATTTGTAATTCAGATTCAAATATTTCCATTTCAAAGGCACGAGATAGTCTCTGCCTACATATTTGTATACTCTTTCGCTAATTAAGCTCACAGTCTTATTTACGTGTATCTTTAATTTTGTTAATTATTCCACATTTTCCATTCATTTATCTATATATGATATGGTATGGGTACAGATAAACAATCTGCGGATACAATATACGTACGCTTATATTCTGACAGACATGCTGTATCACCAACTGATCTCTACACCGAATAAAACGGGAAAATTTTTCTGCTGACTTACCGAACGGAAGCTCCAAACGGCAGTCTATGAGAAGCGAGTGGCCGGTTGGCTTTTTCGTGCCGATAATTTCGGTACCTCTCATCTCGAGTTCCGAGTCGAGGCTGACCCATTGTCCGGAACCCTCCTGGAAATAGGAAATCAGAATGTCAAACATAGCATAACGGGAATACTAACAATGCATCGGTGCTACTTAGCGGATGATCGAGTATTCTTGAGAGCACACAGGAATGCATTTTGTTCGATTAGCAACTACGGACCGTTTAGTCGTGTCTGAATATTTCGCGGGAGATAAAATCCAACACGTGCGTATAATAAACAGTCATTAGTACGCCGAGGTCTAGACAACGCTAAATTCAGCTAATGTACCCATCTAAATTCTAATGCTGTTGCGTACCAGGCGAGTCGATAGACACAGCGCTGATGATAATGAATGTCAATCGATGTCGGAACAATATCTTATCCAATGCACTTAAGGATGTATTGGCTATATAGTCTATCCCAAAAGTTTATGTACCTTAGAAAAACGCATTTTCTATAATTAAAAAGAAATCAGATGTCGGAAGAACAATGCTAATGATAAATAGCTAAGTGCTAAAAAGTATAGAAGAAAATATCCAATTAATTATTGACGCTGACGAAAAGCTTGTTATACAGAAGTTGTAGGCACTGACGTCTTCTACAAGAAAGATTCTATGCATTTTTCTTCTAACTTCGATATTTAACGAGTTAAGTATGGTTAATTGGCATTTTATTGATGTTGACAAAATCCGACCAACCCAGGGT